GGGTTTCAAGACCCCAAAGTTTGGAAAGTATGATGCGCACGGGGATCCCATAGCCCATCTCAAGAGGTACTGCAATCAATTGCGAGGGGAAAGCAAAAAAGAATATCTCCTAATGGCTTATTTCGGAGAGAGTCTAGTCGGCATTCCATCTGAGTGGTACATGGACCAAAACATGTCTCGTTTGCACATTTGGGACGATCTGTCTAGAGATTTTGTCAGGCAGTTTCAGTATAACATAGACATAGCTCCCGACAGGAATTCTCTTTCAAATCTCAAGAATAAGTCCTCGGAAAGTTTTCGAGAATATGTTGTTAAATGGCGCGAACAAGCAGCCAGGATCAAGCCTCGGATGGATGAAACAGAAATGGTGAGTGTCTTTCTACAAGACCAAGAGGCTGACTACTTTCGGAATATGATGTCTACAATGGGGAAACCATTTGCTGAGGCCATCAATATTCGTGAGATGGTCAAAAACGGTCTGAAAACAGGGCGCATACTAAGACAATCTGCCATATGAGCTACATCTCAAGCAATTCAAGGCAAGTCTGGAGGTGTAGCAAATATAAAGAAGAAAGAAGAGGTGGCGATGGCAGCTTCAAGTCTGAGGAACCCCCGTCCACCCAGAGGTTACTTCTCTCCAAACACCCCACAAAATTATTATCCTCATCAAGATGTGGCATATGCTATGGCTCCTTAACCGTACGTAGTAATGAACGCATAACCATACGCTCAGCCACAATAACAGTTCAACCAAAACCAAGCTCTATTTCCTAGAAACAACCCTCCTCACCAAGGTCAATATAATCCCCGACCTCCACAAAATAACTTCCCCTACAATGCCCGTGCTTGGGAGCCACCTAGGAGAATAAATTCATGCCTATTGATGAATGATACTCTAGTTTTTTCCCTAAACTGGTCCAAATGGGTTTGTTGCAACCAGTACCCCAAACTGGGCAAAACCCGAAGTCGCCCTCCTACCGAGCCGATGCTCGATGTGATTACCATTCGGGAGCAGAAGGACATGACACTGAAGACTGTTGGACCTTGAAAAGGGCTGTTGATAATCTCATAAAACAAAAACAGATAGTGCTAAAGGATGAAGAAATTCCTAATGTGACCAACAACCCATTACCGGCTCACAACAACGGGCCAGTTACTGGAATGATTTGCAAAGATAAGGAGTTTGATCCCGCTTTAAAAGCCATCATTGTAATAGCTGATGTCGAGAAGAAGCCAAAGGCTGCTGAAAAGCAAGAAAATGGGGAGAAGAAGAGTAAACCCACCCCCAAAAGTGCAGAAAAGACAATGGAAACCAAAACTGAGGCAGTAGCCCCAAAAGATGCCATTATTTATGTTCCTTGGGGTCATAGGAAAGAACAAATGACATTGAGCCCTCCAAGAAGGTTCGAACTGAACAAGGGATCTAAGATGTATATGCCTAATGGGACCTATGTGGTACGGGGGCCAGTAATTTCACCAAGGGTGAATGAGCCCGTGGTTATTGCCCGCACACCGTAGAGGCCCATGACAGATCCTACTCCCGTCCCATGGAATTATAACAAGGCGGTAGTAACCTATAAGGGAAAAGAGGTCCTAGGTAAAGCAAATGAAACTAACCCAGCTGAGAAATACCTTAATGTGGGAGGTGTGAACAGTGCAAAGCAGAAGCGCTTCCCTGTCTAAAAGCTAGTTAGTGCCGAAGAGGCTGAAGAATTATTCCGTAAAATGAAAACTGCGGACTATGAGGTAATAGACCAACTCTGGAAGTCTCCTTCACAGGTTTCACTCATGTATTTGTTGGTAAGCTCGGCCGAGCACATAAAGTGTTGATAAAAACCCTCAATGAAGCTTATGTTACGATTGAAACCACTGTCAAACAACTGGAAAGGATGGCGGAAAGATTTTTCGCAATCAATCAGATTTCCTTTAGCAAGAATGATTTTCCCCCGGAGGGGGCCACCCACAACAGAGCCCTCCATTTGATAGTTAAGTGTGAGGTCTACTATGTGAAAAGAGTCATGCTGGACGGTGGATCCGGAGTTGATATCTGCCGTCTCTCAACTTTGCAAAGAATGGAGGTTGGGACTGAGAGAATCAGGCCTAACAATGTCTGTGTGCGTGCCTTTGATGGAATCAAGAGAGATACCATATGAGAGATCAATTTGATTTTGACTATTGGTCCTGCGGATTTCGAGGTGACCTTTCAGGTCCTAGACATGGACACTTCCTATAAATCCCTCTTGGGAAGACCTTGGATTCATGCGGCAGGGACCGTACCTTCTACTCTCCACAAGATGGTGAAATTTGAAAATGAAGATCAGCAAATTGTAGTTCATGGAGAAGACGAGCAGTCAATTTACCGGGACCCATCAGTCCCATGTCTCGAAGCCAGAGAAGGTAGCGAGCATATAGTTTATCAAGCTTTCAAGATGGTGGTCGCAAATCAATGTGAGTAGGGAAGCCCTTGTGCTCAACCTTGTCTGCCAAATGCATCCATTATGGTCGCTGCTGAAATGATCAAGCATGGTTATAATCCTGGAAGGGACTCGGGGCATCATTGCAAGGTATCACATAACCTATCACTCTACCTACTAGCAAGAATTTCTTCGGTGTAGGTTTTCGCGGCACAAAAACTGATGTGACATGGGAAAATGAAGGAAAGAGCAATGGTTAGGTGTTACCTCAGCCAGTTCCACATCTCTACAAAATATTCGTCAGGCTCAAGTACAACGAAGAAGAAAATGATGAGGCCTTCACGACCGAGGATATTGAGGACATATGTAGAGCCATGAGGCAGATGTTGTATGAAACCCACATGGTCCAACCGGGAGAAGGCTCGAGCACCGCTGAGGTGCTGTACATGGGGCCCAATGCCAAGTTGCAAAACTGGAAGGCTACTCAGTTCCCAGTCAGGCAGGAATACCGGTAGTCCAGTCTTGCCACCTTTTCTACATCATGAGTTATTTCAGGGTGTAACTCGGATGTTTCTTTTAGGTTATTTTCTTTAAATTCCAATGTAAACCGTGTTATCTTCAAAATTAAATGAAATGAAATCAATATTTCATCGTTCGTCTCTCTTTATTCTTTCTTATTTTTTGTTGCTTTTTCTTATTTCTTCTTTCAGTTCTATTAATGCGGCTTTAAATAACATGACATGCTTGCGAACTTCATGCCCGGATCCAAACACGCTGTTTAATTGTGAAATAATGAACCAAGAACTGGAATACGATGAAGAAGAGGCTTTTAGGGAAATAAATCGATAATTGGAACAATTTGAGAATATACCTAAGCCAAACTTAAATGAAACCGAGTCGGTTAATTTGGGTAGTTCTGAGGAGGTCCAAGAAACCATGATAAGCATTCATACAGATAAAAGAACCAGGGACGCATTGATCCAACTTTTGTTTGAATTCAAAGATGTGTTTGCTTGGTCCTATGATGACATGCTAGGATTAAGTATCGATTTGATGGTCCACAAGTTGTCGACTTACCCTAACTACCTTCTGTCCAGCAAAAGCAAAGGAAGTTCAAAACCGATATCAGTGACAAGATCAAAGAGGAGGTCACAAAACTATTGAAGGCGGGAGTGATCCGATACACCACATGGCTGGCTAATATAGTTCCCATGCCAAAGAAAGAATGGAAAACTCGAGTGTGTGTGGACTACAGGGATCTGAACAAAGCAAGTCCCAAGGACAACTTCCATTTGCCAAACATCCACATCCTTGTTGATAACTGTGCCAAACATGAGATACAATCTTTCGTGGATTGTTATGCAGGATATCATCAGGTGTTGGTGGATGAAGAGGATGCGAAAAAGATAGCCTTCACCACAACCTGGGGCACCTATTGTTACAGGGTCATGCCTTTTGGTTTGAAGAACACCGAGGCAACATATATGAGGACCATGACTACCATCTTTCACGACATGATGCACCAAGAAATTGAGGTGTATGTGGACGATGTGATCATTAAATCCAGAACATAAGATGACCATGTTCGGGACCTGAGAAAGTTTTTTGAGTGGCTACGTAAGTACGATTTGAAGCTAAATACGGCTAAATGTGCATTTGGGGTTCCGTCTGGCAAACTCTTGGGATTTATAATCAGTCGAAGGGGCATCGAGCTAGACTCAACAAAGATAAAGTCTATTCGGTATTTGCCTCCTCCAAGAACCAAGAAAGAGGTTATGAGCCTGCTGAGAAGGTTAAACTACATTAGCCGATTCATTGCTCAATTGACTTCCACATGTGAGCCCATATTCAAGTTGTTGAAGAAAGACGCAGCGATTAAATGGACGGATGAATGTCAAGAATCCTTTGACAAAATCAAAAAATATCTGTCGAACCTGCCAGTCTTAGTCCCAGCCGAACCAGGGAGGCCTTTGTTTTTGTATCTGACAATCTTGGAGAATTCTTTCGTCTGTGTCCTTGGGAAACATGATGTGACTGGGAAGAAAGAGCAGGCAATCTACTATTTGAGTAAAAAGTTCAAGCTATGAAGCTAAATATACCTTGTTGGAAAGGACTTGCTGCGCCTTAACTTGGGTCACTCAAAAGCTTAGGCATTACCTATTGGCCTACACCACTTACCTCATCACCAGGCTGGATCCTTTAAAGTACATATTCTAGAAGCCGATGCCCACATGGAGGTTAGCAAAATGGCAGATCCTTCTTACTGAATTTGACATAGTCTATGTCACCCGCACGACGATGAAGGCCCAAGCTTTAGAAGATCACTTGGCTAAAAACCCTATTGATGACGAATATCAACCCTTGAGTACTTACTTCCCAGACGAGGAGGTGAATTCAGTCGAGGTAACGTCAAAAGAAACCAATGCATGGAAAATGTTCTTTGATGGAGCTGTGAACGCAAAAGGTATCGGGATTGGGGCAATTTTGATCTTACCCACTGGTCAACACTATCCAACCACGGCCCGACTTCGGTTTTTCTGCACAAACAACACGACCGAATATGAAGCCTGTATTATGGGTATGAATATGGCAATTGACCATGATGTGGAAGAGTTGTTAATCATGGGAGATTCGAATCTGATTATCCAACAAGCTCAGGGAGAATGGAAAACTCGAGATGTCAAGCTTATTCCGTACAGACAACATGTGGAAGATCTTACCAAGCGGTTCAAATCAGTCGAGTTCAGGTACATTCATCATTTTCACAATGAGTTAGCTGATGCACTCGCTACTTTGGCCTTGATGTTGCCATATCCAGGCAATCTCCACATTGACCCGTTGGAAAACCAAATCCGAGAAAGGCATGGTTACTACAATACGGTTGAGGTTGAACCAAATGTTCAGCCATGGTATCATGATATTAAGAGATTTCTGAAGACAAAAGAATATCCCGAACAGGCCAATGGAGACCAAAAGAGAACCATTAGTCGGCTTGCAAGCGGTTTCTTCTTGAGTGGTGAGGTCTTGTACAAAAGGACTGCAAATCTCAACTTGTTAAGATGTGTTGATGCCGAAGAGGCCGGAAGAATCATGCATGAAGTGCACGCAGGAGTGTGTGAACCCCACATGAATGGATACATTCTGACAAAGAAGATCCTTCGAGCAGGCTATTACTAGATGACTATGGAAAAAGAATGCTTCAGTTTTGTCCGGAAATGTCATCAGTATCAGGTGCACGGTGACCTAATTCATGCACCACCTACAGAACTGCATCCTATGTTAGCACCATGGCCATTCGTTGCCTAGGGTATGGATGTCATTGGGACAATCAAGCCAAAAGCTTCAAATGGGCATAGATTCATACTGGTTGCCATTGATTACTTCACAAAGTGGGTTGAAGCAATTATTCTCAAAGCTGTCACTAAGAAAGCAGTGGTAGATTTCGTGCATTCCAATATCATCTGCCGTTTTGGTATTCCTGCAACTATCATTACGTACAATGTTGCGAACTTGAATAGTCATTTAATGAGGGAGATATGTGAGTAGTTTAAGATCACACATCAAAATTCTACCCCTTATCGGCCCAAAGCTAATGGCGGTGTCGAAGTAGCAAACAAGAACATCAAGAAGATTCTGAGAAAGATGATCCAAAGTTCCATGCAATAGCATGAAAATTTATCGTTGTGTTGTTGGGGTGTCGCACAACTGTGCGCACATCAGTCGGAGCAACCCCCTATTTATTGGTTTATGGCACTGAAGCCGTAATACCAGCAGAAGTTGAAATCCCCTCTCTTAGGATTATTATTGAAGCTAAAATTGAGGATAGTGAGTGGGTCAAAACCCATCTGGAACAGTTAACCCTGATTGATGAAAAGCGAATGGCCGCAGTCTGCCACGGGAAGTTGTATCAATAAAAAATGGCCCGTGCTTACAACAAGAAAGTGCGGCCTAGGAACTTTGAAGTGGGGCAACTCTTTTTGAGGAGTATTCTCCCTCACCACCAGGAAGCAAAAGGAAATTCGCTCCCAACTGGAAAGGCCCGTACATTATAAGGAAGTTGTTACCAAAAGGGGCATTGTACTTGGGCAACATTGAAGGAAATGATCCTGAAACAACAGTAAATGCAGACACAGTTAAAAGGTACTACGTTTAACCCATTTGTGGTACCAATTCAATCCAATTGGGATGACAAAGGCTTTCATTCATGCTACCCCAAACACTCCAATCCTTTGCTAACCCTTTGAGCCAGTTACCTTTCTTTCAGTACCCTCTTTGGAACATGAAAACGCTTGCCAAAAAAAATCCAAACAAAAAGAAAAAGAAAAACAATAAAAAACAACAAAAACAAAAGTTTCCCTAAACTACGTTCGACTTGATTCCGAAAGGATACGTAGGCAGCCTCTCTCTTGGGTTCAGTCACAACAAAAGAAAAATCCAATTTCCCCCAAAGTGTAGCTGGGGTAGATGATGTAATGTTTTGGCGATGATCTCGCCTGAATGGTTCCAAAGTTGTAATTCGATCCAAACTCTTTTTACCTAAATCCTATTCAAGTCCTTCTGATCAAGCGATGAGACGTTCAAGAATTAGAGAATCCGGCTGCTTGGATCCAATACAACCAAATGAGAGAAATAAAAATGAGAGAGTTTTATTGGTGAAAACCCACACGAGCACCGTATGGCGATGGAAAGCAGAGAACTTGAAAAATGAGATAGTCTTGTTAGTGAAAACTCGTAAAGAGCACTATAAGGCGACGACGAGAAGAGAAATGAGATAGGTTAATTGGGGAAAATCCACAAAGGGAGTCGTTGGCCGAAAAGAAGAAATCCCTTACAACTATTGACACTGAAAGAGTCCTGGCAAGGTTTCCCGGTTTCAAACTACGGGTCATAATTGGTTCATAAGATAGTTGCATAGATCGGGTATCCAGTCCAAGAAGCATGTCATGTCTATTGAAGTCCACGTGCACTCTATATAAGTCCTTCTTCCCCTCCCCGAAAGGGACACTCTTCTTTAAATTCATTTTCCTTTCTTTACTTTTCTTTGAATCCCTTTCGGTTTAATTTTTCTCCGAAATTAATACAAAGAAAAAGATGGCAAGATTGGTTTATTGGGTTTTTCTTGACTTATCTGAATTCAAAAAAAAAACACCCATCCTCAGCAGGTGCATCAAGTCGATCTCAACTGGCCAGGATGGACAATGCTCCAGGTTCAAATTTATTGAAAAGGGAAAAGAAATCCCAAGTCAAATGTAAAGGCAAAATAAGAGGAAAAGGACAAAATCCCACTCGGGTTGAACCATCGTATTGAAAGTTTTGGAAAGTCAAAATCTCTGGTTTTAGAAGAGAGATCGATCTCCAAAAAGCCAGCAGGCAACAGAGTTGTTCATCGAAAGAGTTGGGCCGAGATCAAGTGATCAAAACAATCAAGGCCACAAAACCAACCACCATTTCAAAATAACAATATTTCTTTGTTTGAAAATATGAAACAGGTTCAATCCAAAGTAACCTTGCAAGAAGTGGGTGCAACCAAAAATACACTGCGCAAGTGCTAAAAAAATAGCTTTGCAGCAATAATCCAGAAAGGTGAGTCCCCCCCCCCTACAAATTCTTTCCCGTGAAATAACAAAATGACAAAAAAAGAAAAAAGAGATAAGAAGAAAATTAAAAAAAAAATGGTAGCCTAGGATCCCCAATCAATATTTATGCTTTTCCAACATAAGGTCTCCACTCTATAGTTGAGTTTATTTTTAGACATAGGGTCTCCATTCCCTAGTCGCCCTTGCCAACATAGGGTCTTCACTCCGTAGTTGAGTTTATTTTTAGACATAGGGTTTCCAATCCCTAGTCGCCTTTACCAACATAGGGTATCCACTCCCTGGTTGAGTTTAGTTTTAGACATAGGGTCTCTACTCCCTAGTCGCCTTTGCCAACATAGGGTCTCCACTCCCTAGTTGAGTTTATTTTTATACATAGGGTCTCCAATCCCAAGTCGTCTTTGCCAACATAGGGTCTCCGCTCCCTAGTTGAGTATATTTTTAGACATAGGGTCTCCACTTCCTAGTCGCCTTTCCAACATAGGGTCACCACTCTCTAGTTGAGTTTATTTTCAGACATAGAGTCTCCACTCCCTAGTCGTCTTTCCAACATAGGGTCTCAACTCCCTAGTTGAGTTTATTTTAGACATAGGGTTTCCATTCCCTAGTCGCTTTTTCCAAGATAGGGTCTCCCCTCCCTAGAGGAGTTTATTTTAGACATAAGGTCTCCACTCCCTAGTTGAGTTTATTTTAGACATAAGGTCTCCACTCCCTAGTCGTTTTTCCAATGTAGGATCTCCACTCCCTAGTTGAGTTTATTTTAGACATAGGGTCTCTATTCCCTAGTCGTTTTTCCAATATAGGGTCTCCAGTCCCTAGTTTATTTCTAGTATAGATATAGGGCTCCACTCCCTAATCTCGTTTTCCTCAGGGATACACAATCCCAATTTTTATCGCTTTCAAATAATGAAATAGTCTAGATTTTGTTACAATAACTCAAGAAATTTTCCTAGTTAAAACTAGGGCAGGAAAATTTCGTTCGTTTGTTTGCTTTGGTGCCTGGACAGGTTTTTCACCGTTAAGCACAAGGTTGAGATGACCAAAAGAAGAAGTCTCAACCTAAATAAAAGAAAAGAAGAACAAGAAAAGAAGTTGAACTCTTAGTGTAGAGGAGGAGAGGAGATGTGTACTGCTCAAGATATGATTGAAGTCACAAGTTCTGTGTGTCCCGCCTTGATCTTAAAAGCTAAAGAATGAACCATCATTTGCAGCTAACGAGCATCAAGATTCAGATCAGAGTCTGCAGAAAGAACCATCCAAGACTCAAGATCAAGCTTTAGAATGTTTATAGATAGGAATCTTGTAACTCGTATTGATAGGCTTTAGCTAGTTTAGCTTCTTATCTTTCATTGTGGTGTAATAAGGAGCTCAGCAAGCAGAAACAGCAGCAACAACAGTGAAATCACAGTTTTCCGATAGTCCCATCTACCAAAACTTCCAGAACTACACTGACGTGATTCCTTTATAACCAAGGATATGTAGGCAACCTCCGAAGCAAGGTTCGGTAAGACTTTGTCAAAAGATGCTTCTCATGGAGTTTCAAAACGGGCAAAAATCCCTCATAATTTCTCATTTTTTCTTTGCCTGAAAACCCTTCGCGTTTCCGAGCGAAGAGGGACAGTTGTGAGCATGTATAATTGTTAGGAATTTTTATAGAATTTTTCTTAATTATTTGCATTTTGTCTGTGCATGTTTAATTTAATTAAATCATGAACAAATACCAAAACTATCATGTGTTTTGCATTTAGGATTTGTTTTATATTTTTAGAATTAATCAGTAATTATTTGTTTTATAGAAATTTGAAAATCACAAACATATCTCATTTTTTGCATTTTTTGTCTTTAATTTTTAGCTTATTGATTTTTTAGAATTAATTGATGTTTTAAATTAGTTAAATAGTTTAATTTCACATTTTAGATAATTTAGGATTTTTAATTGTTAGGATTTTTTAATTAAAGAAAAAAGAAAAGAAAAAAAAGGAAAGAAAAGGGAAATAAAAGAGTTGGTTTCTAATTTTTTTTGGACTGATCTTAATATCCAAACTCAGCCCAAACCCGTCCAAAATTCCCCTTGACCCAAGCCCAATCCCTGCCAAACCCGGTCCAGCCCCGTCTAACCCCAAACGACACTGTTTCATCACCCTTTAATCCCAGTCGTTGGATTTTCTTGATCCAACAGCTCGCAAGTCCCTACCCAAAATCAATATAACTATTCAAACAGAGACCCCCTACCCCCAAAGACCCCTCATTCAGTCTCTTGTCTGTCAGCGAACCCAAACCCTAGCTGCTCTTACATTCTATCGCCGCCTTCGCCGCAAACCACCCACAGGAAATCGCCTCTTCTGGTAGCGGTGCTCCAATCACCCCCATCTTTACACCACAGAGTCCTCATGACATCGCCCTTCCCAATCTCCGACTAGCTCCCCTCGAATCCCTATAAATTTGTCCGAATCTTAGATCGAAAATCCGATCAAAAACCTAATTTTCCCAAGTGCCCCCAAAATCACACTCCATCATCCTCGCCCTTCCCTCATTATGTTTGCACCGCTAATTTCCCAAATACCCCTGCCAAAAACCCCAAATTTCAAATCCATGGAAAAGTCAGAAATGCATAGCTGATTTGGTTTCAATGTTCGGAATTGCTCGAA